GTAGTACCTTCGAAGAAAAAGTAATACCTTCGCGGAAGGGTATTTTAGGCACCACAATTTCTAAACAGTAAAAAATCATGTGCCACCTCAGCAATCCATTTTAGAGAAATATGGAATTTTGACTCAGCCTCTAAGTAAATATGAAACTTTGACTCCATTTATATGTAATTTTCCCTATTACTATTAAAAAAACCATTATTCTTTTTTATTTTATTTTTTCTCGTGTACCTCATTGGCTCATTACACCATTGTAAAATGTTGACCACGTAGACTTGAGAATTAAAAAACACAGCTAATGCGCTGAGAACGTGAAAGTTTGGTTGTGCGCCTGTGAGTGCATTCTGAATATATATAACAAATTATTAAAAAATAACTTATAATCAATGCGTCATGCAGTGAAGTTAGTGTCGGTTCGGATTTTTTATTTTTATTCCGCCGGTCAAAGATGTTTTCGTTTTCAGTATCTTGGGTCGGAAACCTATGTGAATATAGTATATAGGGGGTACATGTGAATATGTATAAAAAATTATGCATGTGAACATATAAAAGGATTTTTATATGTAAAACATTATGCATGTGAAAAATTATGCTAATTATTAGAAAACAACTTTTGTCGGAAGCTTTGATAGTGTCGGATTTTTTTCTTCTCCTCTTTTTACAGGTAAAGCAAGATTTTCATGTGATTTCATTTATTTATTTATTTATTTTTGTTATTATTTTTTTTTCTTCTCCCAGACCAAAACAAAAAAAACTAAAACTAAAGCATTTGAATATACCTTATTATCCTATTATATTCTACCTTATTAATAAGCAATACGCAAAACTATCTCGTGTGATGTGTGCATGTGGAATATATATAGCAAATTATTAAAAAAGAACTTTTGATAGTTTGAATCCTTGATAGTGTTAGATTTTTTTTTTTTCACGTGAGGTAAATGAGATCTCTGAATATACGCTTATCAACATATCATTGGGTTCGTAACTTTTCGTTACATACTTTCATGAATCGGTCGATTTACACTACTATTAGTCCGAATCTGTTACACCATGATCACAACCAATACCACAACTTATGTGTTTGTGATTTTTTTTTAGGGACAAAATGTGCGCATGTGAATATATAAAAAAGTATGCATGTGAACAGATATATATATATATATATATATATATATATATATATATAAGAAATTATTAATTAAAAAAAGAACTTTTGATAGAGCCACCTAGTGAAGTAGTGAATATACATGGAGTGTTGGGTCCTTATTTATCATTTTATGGAATTAAAGCCATGATGTTTTAAAAAAATGGAGTTAACCAAAATGTTGACTTAGATTTGAAAAAAATATTGTTCTTTTATCCAAACTACCATTACAATTTATAAGTACTCCTTTTTGTGTACATGTTTTTTTTTTTTTTTTTTTTTTTTTTTTTTTTTTTTTTTTGTGAAGATATATATAATATATATAAAAATATAATACATACGTGCACAAGAATGATAACTTTGTGCATAACAGTGGTACGGAAATGGTAAGAGTAATAAGATATAATAATATCCATGTCACCATTTTGATCAACTTCATTTTTTTGAAATATCATAACTTTAACTTCATAAAATGATACAGTAAATAAGGATCCAAAATTCCATATATGCATAATAATTCCATATAATAATAATACATTAATTTTTTTTGTTTTTTTTGGAACTGTATACATCAAATCTTATAAATTAAGGAATCTCTATCATGTTACCTATATGTACTTTTTTTTTTTTTTTTTTTTTTAATGAAATTTGATGTATTTCCTCCAATATATTCATAGATAAGAAATTATGCATGTGAATGTACATAAAAAATTATTTAAAAAGAACCTTTGCTAGCGCGCCATGCAGTGAACACCTTCGATGGTGTCCGCCCGAATACTCTCTGTCACGCTCTCTTCATTATAAGTAACCCACAGGTAGCTCATCAACCTTGCACAAATACCTCTCTCTTTCTCTCTCTCTCTCTCACACACACACACACATGCACACCAAACGAGTCATGATAACAGATATATGCGATGTGAACGTGAGAGTTTGGTTGTGTGCTTGTGAGTGCATGTGAATATACTTAAGTTGTGTGCATTGTATAATCATAGCGTCATACAGTGAAGAAGTAAAACTTTGATAGTGTCAGATCCGAGGATTTTTTTATTTTTAGTTGGCCCGAGGTTTTGGGATCATTGGTCTGAATACTATGTGCTAGTGTGCATACAATATAGGGTAAAGTGAAAAAAAAAAAAAAAAAAGGGTTTAAATTTGTAAATTAAAACTCCCTTGAAATATGTTTTGTCCATATAATACTCTCTGAATTATCATATTTTGTTGCAAAATGCCTCAATACCTAAACTATTTTTTATTAAATGACCATAATGCCCCCCTTTCTTATAGAATTACACTTAATCTAGGTTTCTTACTGAAATAAAAATTATATTAATTTAAAAACATATTCTCCATTAAATTTGCATAAATTTAAGTTTAATTTTTAAATAAAAATCTTAAGTATAAAATTTTACAACAATTTAAGTAATTTCCTAATTTTTCATGAATATATTATATAAGTTTAATTTCAAAATATTTAAGTTTAATTAAGTAAATTATTTAAGTTTAATTTCAAAATATTGTATTATTTATTTAAATAATTTATTAATTTTTCATTAATATATTATATGAAAAAAATGTATTTTTTTACTATAAAAAAGTTTTATAAGTTTTATTATAAAAGTAGAATTTTAATAATAAATGAATCATTTTAGAAATTGGTAGTTACAAATTTTTTTATTTTTTATTTTTTATGATAAATTAATATTAATAATAAAATTAAGGTGAATGTTATAATAAATATTTAGATAAGAGAAACAATAATAATAGATATTTTTTTTTGTAATAAGAAATGATAAATTTAATGAGAAAGGGTAAATAATCTTATGTGATAGGTTTGTTTTTAGTTGTAACAAATTAATAATTCAGAGGGCAATTTGCAATTTAGGGGGTTATTTACAAAAAAATAATAGTTCATGGAAATTTTTTGTACTTTACCCTATAATATATGTGTACATGTGAATATATATGAGAAATTATGGATGTGAATATATATAACTAATTATTAGAAAACAACTTTTGACGTATGCAACCTTTGATAGTGTCAGATTTTTGGGATTTTTTTTTTTTTTTTTTTTTCAAGTAAAAGAAATCTTCATGTGATTTATTTTTTAATTTTATTTTTCTCCGAGAGAAACGTGTGCTGTGTGAGTGTGCATGTGAATATGTATAACAAATTATTAAAAAAGAACTTTGATGGCGTGAACCTTTGATAGTGTCAGATTTTCGGATCTTTTTTCGTCAATTTTTTTTTTTGTTTTTCCAGGTGAATCAGATCTTCGGATATATGTGTGTGTATGTGAATTTTTTTTAGCAAACAAAAACGTGTGAATGTGAATACATAAAAAATTATGCATGTGAACATATATATAAGAAATTATTAATTAAAAAGAACTTTTGATTGAGCCATCGAGTGAAGTAGTGAACCTTTGATAGCGTCGGGTGTTCCGGATCTTGGGCTGAATAGAAATTTGATATTGGGGGACCAGAATTTGTACTATTTAAAAAAAATTATAAATCAATTGTAATATAAGACATAGACTCATGGTATAGATAACTTGAAAAAATTAAAAAATGATCAAATTACAACATAATAATAATATATGAAAAACTGATATTAGAAAGAAAAATATAGAGAAGAAAGGATGAGTTAAAATTAAAAGGAGAAGAGGTAAAGAAATAAGCATTGTTAGATAATCAATTTTCTTTTATCAAATATCTTAGTTTTTCAAAATCTAATTTTTGGAAGAAAAAAAAAAAATGAGTACTTGGATTCCAGTGGGAAATATATACTTAGATGAAAAATTAAAATAATAATAACGAATTTTAACTAAATAATTATTTTAAATTCAACAAGATTATAATTAAGTTATTAAACAAGATATGAATAGTTGTAAAATTTGTCATTTAGCAAGTGATAATTAAAAGTATTAGCATATATGATATTATTGCTGTTATTGACCATTTCACAATATTTTAGTTTATTTTCTTTCCCAATTTTCTTAGGACTCCCCAATAAAGATCTTATATAATTCTAGATATTTTTTTTTTTTTGTGACAAAAAATGCTTCATGTATTTTATTTAAAATGAGGGATCAATAGTGCTTTTTCCCCCTTTTTTTCTCTCTTTAATTAATAATATAGATATCGTACATGTGTATATCTAAATAAAATAGCAACACGTGTTGCGACTATAATAATAATAAGCTTAAATTTTAGTTTCAGAATATTTGAGCTTTTAGAAGTATAGTTAAAAGAGTTCAAGTTGATTTTTTTTAAAATTTTAAGAATACACAAACTAAATTTATTTTCAGACCCTCTATTTTGGATCAATATATAAGTGTTTTGAAAACAATTGGAGGGGCCAGTTAGATTTTTTAATGAATTTTGAGGGCAAAATCTACAAATTAAGTAATATTTATGGTCAATTTCATTTTTTTTTTTTTAAATATCATGACTTTCATTTCATAAATAATAAATAAGAGTTCAAAACTCCGTGTATAAATAATAATTCCAAATATATATATATATATATATATAAATTAAGGAGTCTACCACATGCATGTGAAATATGTAAGAAATTATGCATGTGATATATGTGTAAGAAATGATGCATTCTTTTGATAGCGCGGGCCATGCAGTGAACCTTCGTTAGTTTTCCCGAATACCCCCTGTCACGCTCTTCACTATAAGTAACCCACAGGTAGCTCAGCACCCTTGCAGAAATAACTCTCTCTCTCTCTCTCACACACACACACACAAACGCACACCAATCAAGATTAGAAATCCATTCCCTTCCACCTGGCCTTCTTTCCTCTATCTCATCTGGTATTTCTCTACGAGAAACTTTTGTGGAAGTAGAGATAGAAATGATGTACCCTTTGATGGCAGTGTCATGGGTTGTTTTTCTTATGATATGGGCATGGAAGGTCTTGAATTGGGTGTGGTTGAGACCAAAGTATTTAGAGAAGGTTTTGAGAGAGCAAGGTTTCAATGGAAACTCCTATCGTATGTTCTTTGGAGATGATAGAGAGAGCTCTATGTTGATCAAACAAGCTCTGTCCAAGCCCATCAATATCTCTGATGACATCGAGCAACGTGCCACACCCCACATCCTCAATACCGTGTCCAACTATGGTATGTTTTTTATTCATAATCTAGCAATGTCCAATAATGGTATGTTTCAAAAAGCTAGTCAGACTTGTTACACCCTATATTTCACATTAGACTTATTAATGAATTGGATTTTGATACGATTAAAATTCGATCATCTCGATATAAATTAAATAAAAAATTTCTACAGTTCGATAATGATTTGAATTTAATAATCTATTATTTTAACAAATCGAATATAAATTATAGGTAATCCAATTCAAAGTTATCCAATTAAAATTATACATATATATTTATTACATTACAATATATTATATATGAATGTCATATATATTAACCATATACTATTAACTTCATATATTATGTATTATCCTATTCCTATCTATTAATAATTCTCCAATCCATCTAAACTTATACTTAGACATGAAAATATTTTCATCCGATTTCAAATCCAATCTGATTCGAATCCTAACTAATTAAGATATGGATTGGAACATTCAATCTGATAACCCATTAATTATTTGAATCCTATATATAACTCATTAGCTAAACAAATAGGATATGGATTTACTCGATCTGATCAGTTGATATGCCAATTTCACACCCATTGTTTATCATGGTTGTTCAACTAGAGGATGTGGTAAATTCCCCCAAAAAAATAAGATAAAGGTATGGAAGGATATGATAATAAAAAAATAATAAATTATATTTTTATATGAACCAAAAAAAAATTTTAATTAGCAATCATTAATATGGGTGTAACTTGCAGGTAAGAATTCCTTTATGTGGGTTGGACGGATACCACGATTGCACATCACAGAACCTGAACTAGTAAGGGAAGTGTTGACCAAGTACTATAAATTTCAGAAGAATTATAGGGCACTTGATCCCATAACCAAGATACTTCTAACTGGAATAGGAAGCTTAGAGGGTGACAAATGGGCTATGCACAGAAGAATTATTAACCCTGCTTTTCGTATGGAGAAGTTGAAGGTACGTGTGTGTATATATATATACATATATTTCATATATATATACATACGTTTTCAACTTGTGTTTGTGTGGAAATGAATTCAACAAGCCTTCAAATTGATTAATTTGAAGCATTTAATACAGATGATTATTGGGTTACTTAATTTTTGTTTTTGTTTTTGTTCTTTATAGCTTATGTTACCTGCATTTCATTCAAGTTGTATTGAGATAACGAACAAATGGGAGAAGATGGTCTCTGCTGGAGCAGGATCATGTGAGGTAGATGTGTGGCCTGATCTTGAAACTCTAAGTGGCGATGCGATTTCGAGGACATTGTTTGGAAGTAGCTATGAAGAAGGAAAAGATGTACTCCACCTTATGAAAGAATTAACCGAACTTACAATTCAGGTTATACAGTCTGTTTACATCCCAGGCCGGAGGTACTTACGTAAAACTCATAAAGTTGAAAATGTTTCTACTTAAACTACATTAATTCCACTTCTGTTACATACAGAGATGATGAATCAAGCTATCCGTCTTGTATGTGTAGGTTTTTTCCAACTAAGACAAACAGGAGGATGAAAGAAATTGACAAAATAGTGTGCAGATCGATAAGTAATATCATCAATAGAAGACTCAAGACAATGAAGACAGGAGAAGCTGGTAGTGATGACTTATTGGGTATATTACTGCAATCCAGTATGGAAGAGATCCGAAAAAATAGAAACAACCAGAACAGTGGGTTAAGTATTCAAGAGGTGATCAATGAGTGCAAGCTATTCTACTTTGCTGGGCAAGACACCACCTCTACCTTGCTTGTGTGGACCATGTTTTTCTTGAGTAGGTATCCGGAATGGCAAGAGCGCGCTAGAGAAGAAGTTGTGCAAGTCTTTGGAAATAATAAACCGGACTATGAAGGGATAAATAGCCTAAAAGTAGTAAGTGTTTTCTCTATTTATCATCTTTTGGAATTCTTAAAAGAAAAATAGGGATAATTATGTATGCGTAGGGATGACCACTTTTATTCATGGAAATGGTAAGGTTAGTTTGGACAAATGAACAATATATATATATATATATTTTCATATTCATATCATGTGATTTCATAAAATAGTAGTAAATATTTGAATTTAGAATTGTTGAAATTTTTTCAATAAACATGCAAGTTCACAACCAATATAGTACTGGAATATCTCATGAATGCACAACACCACTAACATTTCATTAGGTTGTCAATGCACATTAATTATATTACTATATAGTAGTATAAATTAGTTATAATTCATGATGTGAGTTTGGTAATTATAATTCTCATTCCATAGCTCTTTCATTTTTTTTCACAGGTGACAATGATTTTGCTTGAGGTTTTAAGGGTATACCCACCGGTCCTTGAGCTCACAAAAACAACTCATGAAGAAACCAAATTAGGACGATACACCATACCAGCTGGTGTGGAGTTGATGGTACCACAGGTGATACTTCACCATGACCGTGAATTATGGGGTGAAGATGCAAAGGAGTTCAAACCGGAGAGGTTTGCTGAAGGAGTGTCGAAGGCAACAAAGAGCCAAGTCTCATTTTTTCCGTTCAGCTGGGGACCCCGGATGTGCCCTGGACAAAACTTCGCAATGTTAGAAGCCAAAGTGGCCATGGCGCTCATTCTGCAACGCTTCTCCTTTCAACTTTCACCATCCTATGTCCATGCTCCTTACACTCTCATAACTATGCAACCCCAACATGGTGCTCACATGATTTTGCACAAACTATAGCGTGCGTTCAAATTCATCATATGTGGTTCGATGGTTGTTTGCACTTGTCAAAGTTCTGGAATTTGTTGCTCGGAGTGCCTTCTGGTCTCTTTGTTGGGCATTTCTCTCTATCGTGTCATTTGGTTGTTTTCGGCTATCATCTGTATTTTGTTTTCCTTCTTGTAGTTCTTTGTGCCATGTTCTGTTGAGGTTAATATTCCTTTTGATTGCGAGCTTGTTATGAAAATAGATTTGTATTCAGGTAAAAGAATAATAATAAAAGATTATATAACGACAATATATAACAGGCGTTACAGGTGCTATGTGATGCTGGCATATGGGTTAGACACTGTTAATGGTTTGTTTTCCACTACTCTATTGGTTGTTGATGGTATTTTGAAATTTGAATGGTTGTGCAATTAATGATGCATGTTGCCCAAAGTAAGGAGTAGACCCATATTGGCAGGCGTGCTGCGTTACCGGTATTATTTACAAAAAAAATAATAATAATAAAAAATAAAAAATTGTTTAATTAAATATATATATATATATATATTATTTTTCATTGGGTTAGTATACTTACTAATGACATGGCATACATTCAATATCTACTCCCAAATAAAGACCCTGAGGCTAAATATAATTTGTTTTTGACACACACGAAACTTTTTAGAAAACTTATAAATTTTGTTCTTTAAATGTAAATTTATTTAGATAAATCATTCTCTAATAAGCTTTTTGTGTTTATCTTTTGACAAAGATTAAACATTTGTCCAACTGTTGCTGAGTGGGTAAAGCACTTCACATCAAGGCTGCAGGCAAGCCTTTGTGCACATCGCATTAGCTAGGCTTAAGACAAACCCCCACTCTTTACGAGCTGAAGAGAAACTCACTCCTTTTGAGGATCAACCCTCCTTATTTTTGAACTGCCAAGGGGTATCTCATCTTTTGCAGGATTTTCACCACCAACCCATTCGCTAAGAGAACCTTTTGGACTCTCTCTCTTAAAGAAGTATATGTAATTGTAGTAATGGAATACAGCGAATGTCCCTCAATGGACTACTATGAGAATACAACTCTACATTTACAAGTGAAATAATTAATCAAATAAAAACTCAGCTCTAGGTTATATGTGATGAATCACATAGGATAAAGGTGATGGGCCGGTTTAGGGTGCGATTTATTTAAAAGATAATCTTGTCAAGCAGGAGCGGATTCAGGATTCTAATAGTAAGTGGGGCCAAATTCTAAAAAAAAAAACGGAGCTGATTGATTTATAAAAAAAATACATCAATTTAATATTAATTTATGTGCTTTATTTATATGTGTATATATAAATATATATATAATATGTATTGTATAAATGTATATCAATAAATGTATGTATACTCTATATTATTGTATTTGTATATATATCATTATGTGTAGTATGCGTAGGTATATTGAGTGTATACAAGAGGATTAGAAAACCAAAAAAGGAAAAATAAGATTAGAATGTCTCCAATGTTCTCTCTCAAATGTCCTCTCAAACTCAAAATATAAGAAATTTTGTTGTCTGATACACTCCAATGGTGCACTATATAGCTTCTCAAAATATGAGATTCTAAAAAAATATATATCATAGTATATAGCAAGTTGCTATAAGTTGAGAACTTAAGATGCTAGGCCTTTTTTAGGATTTTTGTGTAGATATGGGCTGAAAGTCACATGAAAAAGTAAGAATTAAAATAAGGAAAGTAATAGTATGTCAAAGTGTCAGAATAATTGGAGGAGAACTGCTAAAATATAGCATTTTGGATGAAATGCATTATTGGAGGAGAATTGCTAAAATATAGCATTTTGGCATTGTTATTCCTCTTAAAATATAAATTTACAATGGAGAAATAGCATTTTGCATTGGAGATGCTATTAAGACTTTAAAGAATAAAAAGTAATTAATTTTACTTATAAAAAAGTAATAATTAATTTTTAATTAAAAAAATGGAGAAATAGGTGAAAGAGAATTAGGAAAGAATAGAAATAATAAACTTGCATATTTAATCTTTATTATCTTTTCTTACCATTGAACTCAATTACAAGAATTCATAAGAGTCTGTTGCTTACCAGTGTTGCCATTAGTGACATTTCAAATTTATATTTTGTTATGTAGTTTTGGATTATATTACTTATATTATATATTGTATCATATTATATTGAACTAATATAATGCGCGCCACTACTATGTTAGTTATTATCTTAGGCAAAGTTGAGTTTTTAAGTCTAGGTAGCAGTCAATTGGGGCTTTCCTATATCCACCCTGTATCTGAATTCAAGACACTCTCTCCCATCCATTAGGTTGGGGACCAAAGTAACTAAACTTCTTAAAAATATTACTTCAGTGCACCAAGTTTCTCTCGTGAGAGTTTGAAAATTGTTCACAATTGCATAGCAGTCAGATTGTTTCTTGTTTTGAACCATCACCACTAGGTCACAATGGTGCCCTCAATAATTAAACTTTTCTTGCTACCGGAATCCAGTTTGGTAGAGTTCCAAAAATTGAAATATGATTATCGACGGCAAAAAGTCCAAAATTTTACCATATTTTCCAATTTTTATCTGAATTGATAGCACTAAATGTTACTAATCCTCAATTTGTACGTTTGTTTGCCTTAGACATGTTTATTTAGTTTTGATGTAAAATGATGGCAAATTTTTAGTAGTTCTTGAAAAAAAATTCTACCTGAGATTTTATAATTTTCTCTTTAAATTCTTTCATTCATTATTTTTTTAAAAAAATAATATTGAGTTTCTTACAAGGTAACTAGTGTTAGCACCTCAACCAAAAAAAAATTAAAAAAAAAGTGTTCCCCACTTAAAGAGAAACCTCTCGGAACCATCTTCCTTGTATTGGTGCACTCCATCTTTACTCGCTACCCAAACACACTTTTGGCATTTTTTCCAGTCCCTTTGTGAAGGGTAGGCATCAAAAGTGACACTTTTATTTCCCATGAAAAACCACAAAAAAAAAAAAAAAAAAAAAAAAAAAAATGAAGAAGAAGAAAGTGTGGACAGCCAAATATTATCGTGGAACTTTCACTGAAAGGTGCTTCCAAAAGACAACAAAATATTATCGTGGAACTTTCACTGAAAGGTGCTTCCAAAAGACAACACTTGTTTACCAAGATTGTCGTCCTTTGATTTACAAAGATGGTATAGATTTACCCCTTCTTCCATTTTGTTGTCAATGATAACTGTAATCTTTGGTCTAAGAATACTATATTTATTTTCATTAAAAGGAGCGGAGAAGACAAAAAGTCCACTCCACAGCACAATGTACAAAACAAGCAATACTGGACATTTGTTGGACAAACTGGTTGCCTTTTGAGTTATTTCAAGAGGAAATTAAGAAAGAGATTTTGAAAAATGTGATGAGATGCATCTAGTTTTGCAATCTTATACACACACACACACACACACACATACATTAACAATGATGGAAAATAATTTAATTCCTTGGCCAAACTAAATCAAAACTAAGGTCAATTGCTCGTTAATTTTCGTTGACCAACTTACTCAAGAAACACAGTATTTGAAACTCTATATGATTTTATCTATGAATATTATACTTATTTAAAAATTAGAGTATATTACACTAATTTAAGTTTTTGGCCAAATGAAATGGCAGGTGAGGTCCAACTCCTTTTTAATATTCAGTTGCCAACTCACTTGATGCAGTCATTTGAGTAATTATACAGTTTATCCATTTCCTTGAAATTAATGTTGTCCAAATCACATATCATAAAATCATCTTTATTTAAGCTCGTTGGTTTGAATGTAAAATATTTTTAATTTTCTGTTTAGCTATCGTAAAATATTTGCGAAAAAAAAAATATTTAGATTTAATAAAAACGATTTACTCATCAATATTCGGCAAGTTATGTTACATGCCCATTCTGATAGACTCGACCTCGACCTCGACCTCAACCTTAATCTCAACCTCAATTTCAACATCAACATTGACCTAGACTTTTGTGAAACACAAAAAAGTAAAAATAGGAAAAATATTTTACTTAAAATATAAATTAAAAAAATTTTAAACAAAATATTTTATGTCAAAACAAACGGAATATATACAAAATTTTATTAGTTATTTACCACTGGTGCTACTCACCAACCATAATAGCACAACCACGAGCGAAATATAAAGCATAATGTTCAAAGTATTGTAGCGGAATTTTCATGTAAAATTTTATTGGTTATTTACCACTGGTGCCTTGTGTGTGCGTGTGACGTGCATTTCGTGTCATTGCTCGTCGTCTGACTTCTATTTGTCTAGATGTGATCCAAGCGGGTTCAAGTGCCTGAAGAGCATATTTACCAAAACAAATATGATTACCTCGATAAGATATTCCCTTCATTCTTTCTCTATGTTGTTTACGGAATCTGGTTCTTTTGGGGTTATAGTTGATGGTTGTTTCTCAATTCCATCTCTACTACAGAACCGGACGTTAGAGTTTCTTCTCATCCAGCTCCTCGCGAATAAAAGGATTCAAATTTGAAAATATTTAAATAGAATTGAAGATATGCCCGCTATCAAATAGAAATAATTTTTTCTTTTCTTTTTTTAAGAAATTCAATCATGTATGTATAGATGGGAAAATGTAGATATTATTCTTAATTAAAAATTGGACTATGATACTCTGTGAATTTAAGTTTTTGGCCACATATTACGCTGTGAATTTAAGTTTTTGGCCACATAGAATGGCAAGTGAGGTCCTATTACTTTTTATATTCAGTTGGCCAACTCACTTAACACAAAGTAATTAAGTACTTTATCTTTTTCCTTAAAATTAATATTGTTCTGTTACTCTCTCACTGGACAAAGTCAAGTAAGCATCTAACAATGGTGATTAACATCTCCCCAACATAACCTTGTCAGCGCTAAGTCAGCAAGTCAAAAAAAAAAAAAAAAACCTTCTGTTTTACCATATGTACAAATATCACTATATACGTTATTCTTTATACAATATATGATAAAGAGTATAATATTATACAATTA